ACAGATGAACCTGCAAGGGAAATTCCAATACAAATCAAAAATGTTATTTATATCTCGTTCGATATTTAGTTTTTGGAATTGGAAGTTTTAGCAGAAACGTGCAAAATTGTCTATGTCTAACACACACACACACACTCACATATACACACACACACATACACACACACTCATATACACACACACACACACACACACACACACACACACACACACACACACACACACACACACACACACACACACACACACACTCAGAGACTGAACTGACCTTTAATTGAACAAGTCTCTCTATTAAGAAGCTGTTTAAAATGACAAACTATTCACACATGCTCTGAGGTCAGTTATGTGTTGTTAATGCAGAGAGATACAAATACCACACACACACACACACTAACACACACACACTAACACCCTCCTCATGTGGCTGTGAATAACTCGCATCGTGCCATCCAGTTGACTCTGATCTTTAAATGTAAATCTACAAATGTCATGAACTGAAAACAATATTGGGTTGCACCGACAGTTATCATTTTGATCTAATATTAGTCCCAATCAGACTTCAGCAAAATTAGGTTTCAAAGGATCAAAACTAGATTTAGTAGAGAGCACATTAGTAAATTGTTGTCATAAGGAGCTGTACACACAGTGTATATGTTGTCTCTTATTTTCTGCTTACTTTCTCATAATCAAAGTGTTTTCATACCATATGATACACAGTTTTCTGATAGCAACTCTCTGTGGGTCCACCATCCGAAATTACGTCATTTTGGCAGCAAATCTGTATCTGCTCGTTGTACCCCCGTTTTTAAAATATTTGGGTACGGAGGAAAAGAGAAAGGGTTTTATTTTCTGACGCCGCGTGAGGTCCCCGACGCACCGGGGACACATATTTATGTATAAAAAACATCAAAAAGTGCATTTTGCACGATAGGAGACCTTTTTAAAATATGTTTTATTTTTGTTATTATTTATTTTATTATATATTTTCAACTTCATAAACAATTGGGAAGATTTCAATTATAATAATGCATTGTATTTTATTAAGTGGTCTTTTTTATAAAATCTCAATCTAAAAAACACAAATAAAGTCATAGTAATTAAGGAAAATATTCTTAAAAACTAGTAGCAATAAACAAATAAAAAGTGGTCAGTATTAATGTACAAGACTATAGCCGCGTTCACACCGCAGTACTTTTCCCACTTTAGTTCCGATATAGTTCCGAAATGTCGCGTTCACATCAAAAAGAGCCGGAACTAGAACTTAGTTCATGAGAACCTTTTTACCCCCTTTTCAGTCCCTGCGAGAGAGCAGGTACTTTCGTGGGAGAAAAAGGTTCCTATGTCTGATTGGCTGGGCGGATTGCAAACCACGGCCCGTAAAACTCCCAAAAAGTTTTGTGAAGCCGCCATTTGAATATCCTCACATTAGCATTATTAGCATTAGCCCAGCGCAGAAACGCAGAGAGACTAATTTATGGCAACACAAAATAAAACATGGGAGCGGTGGAGAAGAGGAGGTGTCGGCGTTCTGGCGATTTACTCGGAAGGCTTCAGTAGAAGCTGCTGGGAGTCCCAGCATCTTCTACTGAAGCCTTCCCCAACTCCGGGGACTTCCGGCCAGGGACTCCGGGTGGCAGTATACGCCGTGAAGTTGTTTGCGGCCTGCCAGTAAAGTGACGTCAGTGGCTTCATTTGCCTAATCCTTCCCCAGGAATTTATTCCGTTGTGAACGCGATCTGTACTTAGTTCATGAGAACTCTTTAGTTCTCATGAACTAAGTTCTGATGAACCTTTGTGGGAAAAGTACTGCGGTGTGAACGCGACTTATATTTAGGTAAAGTAAAAGTACCTCAACATTGTACTTAAGTTTCGTACTTAAGTATTGCAGCTAGCAAACAGGAGGAACTTAACATATTTGAAACTAAATCGTGTTTGAGAGTGTATTGGTGTGTTGGTCCCTGCGAACGCTCTGCATCAGATTCCTCTCTGTGACAAAGCGTCTAAAGTTAGCGGCTGATATAAGGCTGAGTCCAGAGCAGCCTGTCAGTCTCAGCTCAGGGGCAGAGTGCCCTCCGAAGAGACTGCACTTTTATTTAATAAATTGAGGTTAAACTGAAAATAAGGCACTAATCAAATACAAAAAAATCCTTGATTGTAATACCGTTCTCTTTCACCATGGTTTTATGGTGCGAGTGACAATAAAAAAAAGTTTTAAAGTTTGACAAACGAATAGAAATATTACTATAGTTTGGACATTGCTTCATGAAGTTGATTATTATTATTATTAAGTTATGATTATTTGTAATATTATAAATTATCAACATTTTCTAAACATTCACTATCTTCTAAGTTCTGTTTACTCCAAAGAAAACATAATAAGACAAAGGTAGAGTCCAACTGCAACAAAAAGAGGGGTTGTGGGTAATGTAGATGTAACTGAGTACATTCTATAGTATATAACACAGAACATTTTCCTATAACCATTACATACTGTGTGTGTGTGTGTGTGTGTGTGTGTGTGTGTGTGTGTGTGTGTGTGTGTGGTGTGTGTGTGTGTGTGTGTGTGTGTGTGTGTGTGTGTGTGTGTGTGTGTGTGTGTGTGTGTGTGTGTGTGTGTGTGTGTGTGTGTGTGTGTGTGTGGTGTGTGTGTGTGTGTGTGTGTGTGTGTGTGTGTGTGGTGTGTGTGTGTGTGTGTGTGTGTGTGTGTGTGTGTGTGTGTGTGTGTGTGTGTGTGTGTGTGTGTGTGTGTGTGTGTGTGTGTGTGTGTGTGTGTGTGTGTGTGTGTGTGTGTGTGTGTGTGTGTGTGTGTGTGTGAATTCTCACCTGTTGTTGGCACCTGTCAAAATAAAAGCATTACCTCGGCATACAGAAACAAGCTGCTGTTAATGCAACGTGTCAGACTGTAATTATTATTTAAAAACAACCGCTCTTGTTTTATATCGAGCAGTAGTTTAATACTTTATTTATTCTGGGGCTAATTAGATTTCATGACAGTTGCTCCATTTTAGAATAAGATAATGAAAAGTCTTCACAGTCAAACCCTGCCCCTTCCTCACCATGAACACACACTTTGTTTTCACTAAATCCCACACACACCTCCCTACTGCCAGAAATACTCACTCCAGCACCAAATGTGGATTCATCTGCCGCTGAAAATAGTCCCTAACAGATGCTCTGTTTCCTCCTCTCTGTTTGGTAAAAAAATACATTGAGCAGCTGTTTTAGGAAAAGCCTGAGAACATTTGACTTTTTTCCGTTTTTACATGACATGTTACTTGTTAGACGCTTTTATCCAAAGCGACTTACATACTCAATACTGTGGGCAATCCCCACAGGAGCAATCTGGGGTGTCTTGCCCAGGGACACAACGACATGCTGACTGCAGTGGGGTTTGAACCTGTGACCCCCTGATCCGAACACCTACGCACAACCCACTGCGCCTCCACATGCCTTTTTGTTTTATAGGAAAATTATGTTTTATATTTGAAAAACTGACTTTTTTTTAAAGCAACAGAGTATTTCGTTAAGCTAGTTATCTTTAATGTAGATCATCTCAAACTGAAATACATTTTGAGATTGATTAATTAACGATCTTAAATCGTAATTTGTGTCAGGTTATAAACACAAAACAGTGATTCAATTTGATCACTGCAGACTACTTGCTGAAGCAAAGTGAAGACAAGTATCCAGGGTTCGTGCAAAGTTGTATACGGTAAGAATTATTCTTAAATCTAAATGCAATCCAAACATATTTTTATATTTGAAATATATTTATCCTGTCGCCATATTTGTTTCTCGTCCCTGGCGTTCCTAACACCATTCATTTACAAATAATAATAACAAAAACAATCAAAGTTGATATTAACAACTGCTATTATAATCAAAATGACAATTCATTTGATTGCTTTTGTTCTAAAGACATTTTTTTTGTTGCATTTATAGTCAACATTTGGTTTGGCACTTATTAAGTCGCTTTACCGCAGCGCTGTGACGAAAAGGGAGCTGAGCCAGAAGGCAAAGCTCTCTGTCTACCGGGCCATTTTCGTTCCTACCCTCACCTATGGTCATGAAGGATGGGTCATGACCGAAAGAACGAGATCGCGGATACAAGCGGTCGAGATGGGTTTTCTCCACAGGGTGGCTGGTGTCTCCCTTAGGGATAAGGTGAGAAGTTCGGTCATCCGGGAGGGACTCGGAGTTGAACCGCTCCTCCTTCGTGTCGAAAGGAGCCAGTTGAGGTGGTTCGGGCACCTAGTAAGGATGGGAGGAGACCGAGGGGTAGACCTAGGACCAGGTGGAGCGATTATATCTCTTCGCTGGCCTCATGGGAGCGCCTCGGGATCCCCCAGTCAGAGCTGGTTGATGTCGCCAGGGAAAGGAACGTTTGGGGCTCTCTGCTGGAACTGCTACCTCCGCGACCCGACCACGGATAAGCGGGAGAAGATGGATGGATGGATGGACTTATTATAAGCAGCATTACCCATGTCAACATACATAAAGAAAAACAACTGGCCTTCCTTGTGTTTCCTAAGTGAAACAAAAACCAATAGTCTGCACATCATGCACACCTGTAGAGTGGTTTGCTGCCTTGCTGCAGGGCACTACATCAGTGAAATATGACATTTTGATGCAGGATCTGAACCATCTGCTGCTGACCTTCAGCTGCTGGAGACACTTCACTGCTGGCCTTTAGGTTTAATCTTTTATCACCACGGAGTTAATGAGACGTTTCCTGGCATCGCCCCTGATTGGGTCCGAGGGAGACCCTGGGAGTGGGGGAGGAGAGGGGGGGTACGACGGGGTGAGGGTACAAGGGGTCGAGGGAAGGAGGGAGGGGGTGAGTCTAGAAGAATCTGCTGGGTCTATATTAGCCCCGGTGAATCACGGCGAGTCTAGCATACCGGGTGTCCCCTTTCACACCATATAAGTCCAACCCCCCCCCCCCCCCCCCTACACACACTCACACCCCTGCCTCACCCCGCCTCACCCCTCCACCCCCCCCATAATGCAACAGTGCTATCTGTGGTTATTCTTAGGCTGTCACTTTGGCTCCAGCCGAGTCCTCTTCTGTCTCCTCGCTCTCGCCGTCTCGGTTTGTTGCATTTCAACTCATTTATTATTACATGTCATTTCTTCTTTCATTTTAATCAGTTTTTTCATTTTTTTGTTTCTGATTTCAGAGGCTCCCCGCTGCCCTCCCGTCACTCCAGCAGCTGTGGGGTTTTGAACACTTTTTAAAGGTTTAAGCGTACATTTTTGGGAGGATCTTTTTAAGAATGAGCTGCTACACAGTGACGCTCCCCGGCCCCGGGCCCTGGGGCTTCAGACTGCAGGGGGGCAAGGACTTCAACATGCCCCTCACCATCTCCAGGGTAAGAAACACTTAAATTACATTTGTGTCATTGCACAGAGACAACCAAATGCAACCAAGCATCTAACAATCAAAGCGTATTTACACATATATGATTAGTGAGATATTAAACTGATGTATAATACAGTATTGGGTAATGTGTAATACAGTAGAGGTATGGACATTATCAGATATTAGTCAAAAGTACTATGGTGATTTTACAATCAAGCAAAATGGTTTTAACTTCCTTAAGTGATATTATATATTCAACTGTGGAAAAACTCTTTTGTGAATGTATTGTGTTGTTTGGTTAACAATTGAGGAATCCTTCAAAGTCACCCTTAAAATGAATTAAAATATTTGAAAAAGTTGTTAAAATCGTTAAACTTATGTCGGACAGAGGCTCGCATTACAGGACCCGCTAATTAAAACAACATACATGTTACATAAAACCAGTGACATCAATCTAAATATCTCAACTGGTTTCTTATTGAAATAAAACTTAATTTGAGATTCTTGTTACTTCAAACAATATTTTAACATAATGTTGGTTCATCATTTTTAAGAAAAGAAAGACGGTTCGACTGTTTTGATGAGGGAACTTCATCAAAACAGTCGAACCCCCCCCCCCCCCCACCCTAAAACGCCTCCATTGGACTCCTTTGTTTACTTCTGTAACATTGTGATATCACTATGTAGGCTATAGGCTAAAGGGCGGGACATCTCTAAGCGGTTGACCAATCACAACAGAGCCGGCCAGCTAACCAATCAGAGCAGACTAGGCTCTGGTTTCAGACAGAGGGTGAAAAGAGGTGCTGCAGCACAGACAGTATGAGAAAAATAAAGAGCTTTTTGAACATTAAAGCATGGAGACAAGTCACAGTAGAGACACTACATATATACACCTGAAATAGCAGACTAAGGCCCCTTTAAGTCTTTGCTCTGGGAATCTGGAAGTTTTTCTGGTGTTCATGATTTCTTTTTGCTGTTAGATTCCACCTTTTACCGTTATGTCACGATGGGTTTAAAGATAATAAGTGACTTTTTGTTGACGTATAATCACATGAAACTCCAGGGTGAGAGCTGCTCCCCCCGACAGCATGACGGCTGCCGGGGTTTGTCAGAGAGGCTGACAGCAGAGAGCCTAAAACTGGATCTGGCTTTAGTTTCACTGCCTTCTCTCTCTCTGTGAATCTGCTGCATGTGTCCTCAGGATGTGTCATTATTGACCTTTGACCTTCTCCTTGTTCAATCAGGAGTTTTGATGTAAGTGCCAGTGATACACAAATGAATGTAATGGTGATTAGGCCCCGTTGTGCAGGAGTAGCATTCGGGTGGGTAGAACCGATCCGATGAAACCCCCGGGGTCTAGACACTGGTGGTGGTGAATGGATAGTTGGGGTCGGTCTGAAGGGGAGGGGCTTAGCTTGACCCTGGATTCAGAGGGACAGGAGGTGAAAAGGGGTGGAGGAGTGTTGCGTCGAGTCACCTGAAATGACAATTGTCAAAGGGGGAGAGCAGATTTAAACGGTTTAGCGGAGCGCTATGATAGGCTTGTGAGAATAGAGCGAAGTGATTGGTTAAGCTGGGGAGTGACGCCCCCGATCACTTATTGAGAGGAGAGAGAGTAGTAACGTGGAAATAGTAAATGAAGAGTGAAGACAGTCTTCCTGGTTGAACTTACACTGAGCTTCATTTGGCGGCTTGTTGGATTATTCTGCGAGCTGCCTCTCAGCGACAGAGAGCTTGTTTCCTGTTTAGACCTCCGTTGCATTAAACATCTTCTCACTGCTGTCCAGATCTGTGGATGCAGGTTATGGCTGCATGAAATAGTCCAAAGCTGTTGTTGCAATATGAAAAAATACAGGAATTTTAACCAGATGATAAAAATTCCTCTTTTGTGTCGAGATCAAAATATTCTCCACATTTGAAATATCCAAAGTTTCCTGCTCTTGTGTTCATTCTCAGATAACTTGACGAGTAGCAAGACCTGTTTTGGTTGTTTGATAAGTTGATGAAGCTGTCCTGTTTGTATCAAGCGGCGCAAAAAGTACTATTAATTTGCTTTACTTGACACGTCCTGTACTGTATGTGTGACTTTAGCACATGTGGTAGATGATGACAATACGATATGTTGTGCAGCCCTAATGCAGATCTTCATGACTCTTTATCGCTGCAGAGTGGAATTAGAGGGCAGGACTTTTGAGATGCACAGGTTCTGCTTTGAGACTTTTGGCTGACTGTCACACTGAACCCAGACAATGACACCCAGCAGCTGTTCACACACACACACACACACACACACACACACACACACACACACACACACACACACACACACACACACCACACACACACACACACACACTGACAGTAGTCCTTCTGGAACAGCTGACGAGGAGTTTCCTCTCTGTCTGTGTGTGGGCTTCACAGTGTCCCATGCTTGTTTACGACCTGAACATGTGTCCCAAATACATTTATTTAGTTTATTTGAATTATCCACACTCTTATCTTCCTGAGATTGCTCCTGCACTTTGTTGTTTAGTGTAAAGCGTGCTGGACACACATACATCTGCTTTCCCTATAAAGTATTTACAGAATTGGATGTTATGAAAAGTAATAATGAACTACAAGATGAATAACAATGATATGAAACATATGGAGGACATTTAACAAACACAATTTAATCAGAATCAGTAACAAGTATATACGAGGACTTTGCCATGGTGTATTTGGTGCAAACATAAACAGTCAAAAAAGATCAATTGTAAGAAAAATACCACAAAAAAAATACTTTTATTTACTTAAAATATAGCAATATTTACATGGAATGTTGATGAAATACCCGTAAAAATAAAATATATACTTTTAGAATGTATATATATTTAAGCGGGTTTCCTAACTTTTGCAAACACTTTGAATCTGACAAAAGTACACATTTCTAATGCAGTATCTCCATGTGGTGATAATCTGGCAGCATCTGAGTTGGATTAACGCTGCGTTTTCTGCCGTCTGTCAGAGAATTGGTGTATGAGCGAGGGACCCAAGTTCCCATCAGCAAAAACACGTGGGTTTGCTATCCTGTTTCCAAAATGGTGGAATGAGCTCCCCATTGAAATCAGGACAGCAGAAACACATCTTCGGGCGCTGACTGAAAACTCATCTCTTTCGACTCCACTTCGAGCGATAAAATGACTAACAAAGCACTTATATACTAATAAAGGACTGGTTTAAAGCCAGTTGAGTAGCACTTTTTTCCCCATCATGCCTCTGGGCTCAGGGGTTCATTGTTTCCTGGGTTTAGAGGTTGGAGCAGCAGGTTGAGCGAGCAGCGGAGAAACTGCGGGATTAATGAGGATAAATCAATCTGCTGCTTAATCAGAGTCTCAGAGTCAACAGGAAGTCAGGTTTACTCTGTGTGAAGGGGGGTGTAGAGGCACGCTGAAATATATGAAGATGTTCCGTTTTTTTATCGGTTAATTCCTGCATGGTTGTCATTTTGCTTTAGGTTAGATCTGCAAATCCGCTGATGCAAAATCTTCATATTAATGATCTGAAAACCTCCCAGCAGGAACATATGGAAGATATAAAATGCCTCAAGTAAAACAAATGAACTGAAAGTGTTATATGCATTTACTGTGTCATAATAACCCAATGAAAAACACTTAAAAAGGACAATCATTTAACTGTTTTAAACCTTATTTTTTCTTACTATGTCACAAAATCAGAAATGAACTCTCAAACTCTTGATAGCAGTTTGATACCACATGAAAAAACAAACATTAAATCCCATTTACTTCAACAAACAGTCCTTTATTACTTTTTAGGAATTTATTATCGATGATTTGAAACTACATTTGTAAAATATTAGATTTTTCAGATTTTGGCAATGATTGAGAACCAAATACTTACAAAAACATGTGGATTAATCCGCCACAGAAAATATTTTGTTTGATGAAAATATATTCCGTTTTTAAAGATGTATGTCTTAGTAGGAACCAATGGGCAACAGACGATATTCACAGACGATCTAACACATTGGTGTTTACCTCTAAATGTGGGATTTGTTGATGATAAGAAAAGTATAAAATAACAACAGACTTATACTTTCACATTAAGCTCCTCAAACAAGAAGGTCCTGTAGCATTAATTTAAATGATGAAACACATGTAAAGTAAATACCGGCAGTGGCTCAGTCAGTAGGGGCTTGGACAGGGAGCTGTAGGGTCACCGGTTCAAGTCCCCGACCAGACCTAAAATATGGAGTGTGGACTGCTACTTGGAGAGGTCCCAGTTCACCTCCTGGGCCCTGCCGTGCTGCTCACGCAGCGTCAGAAAATAAAACCCTCTCTCTTTTCCTCCGTACCCAAATCTCTAAAAACGGGGAACAGCGGAGCTGATCCAGATTTGCGTCCGATATGACGTAATATCTGAAATGTGGACCCACGGCCCAATCAGAAACGTTGCTATCAGAAACAATGCCCGACTGTTTTGGACGTAATATGGTCGGTGTTTACATTAGCATCGCTAACACTCAGAGCTAACCTGTACTGGAGAGCATGTGTGTGAAGAAGCAGGAAGTAAAAAGGAACTCACCTTGTGGTATAACCGGCAAGAGAGAAAGCCTTTGAGCTCCAGACTGTTTCAGATCCTTGATAATCCATGATATGGCGTTTCATCACGGCAGCATTTAGTTTAGACAGTAGCTGCCGGGTCCCGCATGAGCTCAGTCCCCTGCTTCTTTATTTGATCTATTTTTTATTTGTCAAGCTTTATACCCAAATCAGCACTTTTGAAACAGGAAGTGAAATAGAGGGATATGAGGCATGGCTAGAATGGGTGATCTGTTTGGTATTTTGAGCAAAACACTTCATAGACATGTTTTTTATATATTTGTATATGTCTGAGACCTATGCTGTTGCCTAAAAATAGCACGATAGGTGACCTTTAAAGTTTCCCCACACACTTTGTCTTTTAGAGTCCCTTTTCCCACTTGTGAACTCAGTGGGACATTTGCGGTCT